TGGTGGATGAATACAAGGAAAATGTGTTTTTCAGACACAACAAGGAAATTACACATCTGAACACAAAGCAGTTGTGACAGCATGCATAAAACCTGCACAAGCAAAAGCCAGCCAGAAACCCAGTACGGATCAGGGTGGTGGGCAAAAAGCCTCAACCCTAGCTGAGAAACATTGGCAAGTGGTAGCTCCTGGGGGTGTGATTCCAAGCATTTTGACCAGGCTTCAGGGAATGAACTCACCACCCCCAAAAGTGTTTGGGTACCACAAATTATACTCAGTAGGCCTTATTAAAACAGTGTGTTTTAAGATTATTTAGAGGCAGTTGGCAATATACATCAATTTGAAAATGATAATTAGGAAGTTGGGTCTAGGGACTGGAGCAACGGCTCAGCATTTAAGAGCATGTACTGCTCTTGCAGAGGACCCTAGTTCAGTCCCCAATACCCATGTTGGGCAGCTAACATGGCCAACCTGTAACTCAAGCTACAGGGGTCTGATGCCCTCTGCTGGCCACTATGGACACTAGACGAGACAGGCACATACCTCCATACAGATCCACAATGACCCCTGAGCCTTGGCAGGCAGAGGTCTGAAATAGGTTTCCTATTCAAGGATAAGCACTCTGTGGACTCTTGTTCTCTGCACATTGGCCAGTTGTGGGTTTCTGTGTTAATCACCGTCTGATGCATAAGGAAACTTCTATGGTGGCATTTGAGAAACGCATTCATCCTATGTGCAGAGGTTGCATTGTAGATGTGCCACTTAGAGTTAAGCATCTCACAGACACTTATTTTTTTGAATTTGATCAGTTCTGGAACTCTATGATAGTCTCCATATGTTGCCAAAAAAAGCTTCTTTGATGAGGGGTGAAATGTACATATGAGGATGTGTATCTAAAATAAAGAAATTACATTTGTCTAGAGATGTGACAAAAGTAGGTTTTTCTCTAGGATCTATGACCTCTCTAGCCATGTGTATTTCAGTATGTTTACAATATCACACATGTGAACTCACAACAGTGGTGTCAGCACATACAAGACCTATGTGAGCTCAAACCAGACCAAATCCCAGCATAGTCGTGGGGGAACTGAGTAAGAAATACCAACCCAACTCATGAAATTTTTGGCAATTGATGGCTTCTAGGAAAGGGAGAGATAGTGTCAAGAGACTCTACAATGCATCAAAGCATGAACGATATCCTAGGGTATATTTTATTCATGCAATCCCATCATTTCTCATAACAAGGATATATATTAAGAGATACATCAATTGAAAAATAATACTAGAAAAATTAAATTGTACTAAAATATGTAAGATGCACTTGAAACCATTTGGAATTCATGTCTGACAGAAGTACCATGAAAGCAACAGAAAAACCCAATATTTTCATCTAAGAAGGAGCTCTGGTTGAAGGGAATGAAGTCCTCAGATAAGCCACAATATAGATTAACCCCCAAAAGAAAGGCTCCATGTTCTTTGATACTATTGACATTAACTGTATAGAAAAGTCAAATCTATAGAAACAGAGTACAAACTGATCCATGTTGGGGGCTAAGGCAGGTCACAATAGGGAGCAATGGCTTAGTGAGTATTGGGTTTCTGTTTTTTTGGTCTCTTTGAGACAGGGTCTCCCTGTAGTCCCAGCTGTCCTGGAATTCATTATATAAACCAGGCTGGCCTTGAACTCACAGAGATCCACCTGCCTCTGCCTCCCAAATGCTGGGATTAAAGGCGCCGGCTGAGTTTCCTTTTAAGGTGTACAGAATTGTAGAAATAGAGAGTGATAATTGTCCTATATGTTTTGAATATAGCTCAATCCACTTAATCATACATTTATTTTGTTTTTGTGGAGCAGGGTGCCTTGAAATCCAGGCTAGCTATGAACTTGCTATATTGCCAAGAATAACCTTGAACTCCTCATTCTCCTGCCTCCTCCTCCCACTTGCTGGGATTACAGATGTGGTCCACTACACCTGGCTTAATTAGATATTTTAAAACTGTAAAAAATTAGAGTGATGGCACTGGAGAGAGGGCTCAGAGGTTAAGAACACTGACTGTTCTTGCAGAAGACCTGAATTCGAAACCCAGCACCCATATGGCAGCTACCAACTGTCTGTAACTCCAATTCCAGGGGATCCGACCACCTCTTCTGTCTTCCCTGGCCATTGCACGACATGGGTGCACTTACATACATGCAAGCAATTCATGCATACACAGAAAATAAAAATAATAAATAAATTTTTAAAAAATATGTTGATATGTTAATTTCCCTTCCAAATAACACAAGGAGCTTAGAGCACTTTATTTCCAGGGTACTCTCCAGGGTATTGTAGTGGTCCAATAGTATGATCTGATGCTTCCTTCTTGAGCCCCTGCAAAGGAAAATTATGTGTCAGTATTCATAATAGTAGTTTTATTTAGATTTAGCTGCATATTTATAAACTTATAATTTAGCTAAATATTTATAAAGAATTTATAAATTCTTTATTCACAATTCCTCTTTTCATTAGGATTATTTCTCTCTTCTTTGAAGGAAGCTATTTTTTCTTTTAAAAAATATTCTCCCAAAGCCAAGCATGGTGGCATACACCTGTAATCCCAGCACTCAGGAGGCAGAGGCAGGTGAATCTCTAGAGTTTGAGTTCCAGGTCAGCTGGAGCTATAGAGAGACCCTGTCTCAAAAAGACCAAAAAAATTTATATATGGGAGTTGTATTCCATTCTTCATATATACCAGATTTTCATTATCCAGTCATCAGTTGATGGACAATTAGGTTGACTCTACTTCCTTGCTATAGTGAGTAAGGCGGCAATGAACATGGGGTACAAATATCTCTATAGTGAGCTATAGAGTTCTCTGGATATATGCCCAGGAGTAAGGTCATATGGTAACTCTATTTTTAATTTTTTGATGGACCTCCAAACTGATTTCCATAATGGATGTACTAACTGACACTCTCATGTGGGGTCAGTCATAATCCTGGTTGCTTCAAGCAATGGGCATAATAAGATGACCTTAACACAAAACTAGGTACAATTAAGTAGCACCCAGGGGAGGTCATGATATTTAGTATGTTTTCATATCATGTCATATCAAGAAACTGCCCTGTGTCCTTGTCCTTGGCATAACGGTTCAAATATCACTGGATACATTTCTTAATTAACAATATTTTATTTATTATTTTTATTTTATGTGTATGAGTGTTTTGCCTGCATGTATGTAAATGCACCCAAGTCGTGCAATGCCTGCAGAGGTCAGAAGATGGTGTCAGATCTACTGGAACTGGAGTTACAGACGGTTGTCAGCCATCATATGGGTGCTTGGATTGGAACTCAGGTCCACTGCAAGAGCAGCCAGTGTTCTTAACCATCTCTCCAGGCCCATCACTGGATACATCTCATTTCCAGTTTCTGTGGCTGGTCTTGACACTTTGTGGCTGGTTACACCAGCTGTGTCTCCAGGTCTTGGCTGCTCCTTACTTTCCTGCTTTCCGTACAGGTCTGATTCTGATCTGCCTTCTGCAACGGTCTCCAACACTGACTACATCTCATGTTTGAGGTACACATATCTGTAAATGTTCCTAAACTCAGGTTTAGTTGTGTTTTCCAGACACAAGTATCATCCTCACAGCATGCACTTGTCATCAGCTGGCTAGTTTGTACTGAAGACTATGTGGTAAGTTTGGGAGTTCCGGGCACATCGTGGGTAAGAGGACATGAGGTAGCACTATGTAAAGGCTCCCTGTGGGCTGAGTTGGAAATCCTGCCCCTCCTCCCTTTGCTGCAGATTACACTTGCACCCTTTGTTAAAGCTTGGCAGATTTTGTTGTCTTTGAAGATCCAATGCTGTGAGTTAACCCCTTCAGCAGGTTGACCCCTTATTCTACATCCTCAAAACAATCCCATAGAGCTTAGCGTGTACCTCAGTGATTGAATGCAAACCTAACATGTGCAGGGTTCTAGGTTTGACACTCAGCACCACAAAAACAATCCTTTGGAATCTTTCTTTCTTGGGCCTCCCAAACCCACCATACTCTAAATGTACTTCATCTGCAAAGTGCTGTCCAAGGCCCCTTGTCTGAGGACAGGCTGCCCTCCCCAAAAGAGAACAGCAAAACAGCCCAAGGATAAAAACATTGTGTCTTTGAAAATAGCTAGATGGTGAACCGTTTCCAACAGAGGTGACCACCGTTTATTTCATAGTATAAAAGTGCCTGCCGTGGGAAAGAGAAGCGGGAAGCTAAGATGGGAAATTCAGCCATAGAAAGAAAGCTCAATTGGGAACTCCAGGTGACTGCCTCAACTTCCCCAGGCAGTTTCTGATGGATGTTTTGAAAGTCTCATTTGATTAATTATCTGTTGGTATTTGTTCTTTTGCTCAGAAGATTCAGCTGAGGGAAAACTGCTTTGCCTAGTGCTCTCCCTGATAAGAAACACCTGCTGGCTGCCTTAAAGAGGATTCCCTAGTCAATTTCTACTGTATGTTTTGGGCACCAATTTAATGATGCTTTGATGTTTATCTTTATCTCTTACTGTTGATTTTTGCTTTACTTTGGCTTATTATATACTTAATAAACTCACTCATTCAAAACCAGAAGTATGACTACTGTAGACCATTCTCCAAGCTATACAAAACAAGCATTTATAGGTTTTCCTGCCTGCCATTTTAACTTTTTAAACATGAGCTAAATTATCTCGCTTTAGTACATCCCAAAATATGTCAACCATCTTTCATTAAGTAGAAATATCTTCCTTAACTAAAGATGGTCAGGGACATGTCAGCCTCTAAAGTGCTTTTCCTAAATGAATCTGTATAGATTTCCCCCAAACAAAACCCCTGCACTTTATTTCCCAGGACTACAGGAGCGCCTGAGTAATGGAACTACATTACCCACAATACCACGAGAAGAGTGGCAAAATGCTGAACCAATGATGGCAGTTTCCGCCCGCCCTTGGAACCCACGTAATGGGTGGGACTTCCTGCATCGTTATTTGAGTCTGGTTTAGTTCCTCTTGGATAGCTTGTTGGTTAGGACCGGGAATTGGGATCCTAGCAAAAAGTGAAGGCAGGCGCGAGACGAAGGCTCCCACTCGTTGAAGTGACAGTTGGCAGTGGTGGCAGGACAGCCGTGCGCAGACCCCTGCTCCGTCAGCAGAGTCCAATGGCAGCGGCCCGAAGACATTCTCACCCTGCTCTGGTGAGTGCTGCATCCTCGGTGGTCCCCTGCCCAGGCTTCACCTGAGTCCTAGATCCCAGAGAGGGCCTAGCTCAACTCATGTCCCTGTGGTAGGAATCCCAGTATCCAGAACAGTGCCGAGCTCGTTAGTGGGATCCCCATTTCTCATAATCAGTGTGATGAAGTATGGGAGACTGAGGACCAGCCGAGGGTTGACTGACTATTGTGGTTAGTAATGTCTTGATTGGGCGCTGGAGCCGGAAGCATCCAGGCCTGCAAATGGCAGGGTGAGGCATAGTGTCTACTATCCCGCAGGGACCTAGGAGCCAGCGAGACTGTGAGTGGAACAGGAATGTGGTCTGAGGCTATTCCGTTTTTCCAAGAGTTAGAGCAGGCAGGATGATAATTTCAGAAATAATCTCAGAGACTCAGAGAGTTGAGCCTTGTAGACATCCCACAGATCGTAAGACTCAGCATTGAGCACCTAAGGCTTAGAGATAATTTAGACATACTAAAGTCATGGAGATCAAGGGTCACAAAGTTGCCTTTTTCAACTTTCTTCACACAGACTCCTATGTCTACAGAACCACATGTGGACTGTACACAGGTAAGTGGTAATGTTCCAAGGCCTCACCAGTGTGACCCCACTTTTGTCTCTGGAATTATATGCTAAATATTGTTCACTGCTTTTCACTGCATGGGTTTGGGGACCCCTAAGAAATCCCAGGCCGAGTGGGGAAACCCAGGCTGGGAATCATATGGAAAGGCTTCTGTTCCAACTCTTACCAACCAGAAGGATGAGAGATGAAATGTTTCCCAAGTCATAGGTACTCCTGAAATGTGAGGCTTGGCTTACTTAGAGACTACAGGTTTTCTTTCTGGTGAGACATTAGAACAGCAAAGTAGAAATCGGACGCCCTAGTTTGCTTCTCTCGCTGTGATAAAAACTCTGACCAAAAGCAGCTTGGGGGAGGAAAGAGTTTATATGGCTTACAGGTTACAGTCCATCATTGTGAAAAGTCAAGGCAGGAGCTGAGACAGAGATCACTGAAGGAGGTCTGCTTACCCACTGGGTCCGAGGATCACAATCGGCTAGCTTTCCTCTGCAACCCAGGCCCACCAGCGTAGGGATGGCACTACCCACATCAACGAACAATTAAGAAAATGCCTCACAGACATGGCTATGGGCCAATCTGATGGAGGAAATTCTTCATTTGGGTTCCCTCTTCCTAAGTGTGTGAAATTGACGACCAAGATTAGCCATCAAATCAGGCCTGGGAAGTTAGGTATCTGTTTTAGAGATGAAGTTTGGAACAGAGGACGAGGGTAATCTGATCGGTCTTCTCAGCCGCCCTGGGACTGCAGGAGGTAGAACAGACTATGGTATAAATGAGGTGATGGAAAGTACAGAGATGAGCCTGCTGCAGAAGTCCAAGTGATGGATTGGGTTACCACATCAGTGTGGTGGTCAGAGAGGCAGAAAATGTGGTTGGGTTCTGGCTTGTTTTTTCAGAAGGGCAACCTAGATTTTCCATTATTAAGGGTGAGAGAAAGGTAAGTAATTCCAAGATTCTTTTTATTTTAGCAGCTACAAGGATGGACATTTTAAAGTTGATCGCAGAATTAGTTTTCTTTGGGGATAGCAAGAACTTTGTTTTGACTCTCTTAAGATTGAGATGTAAAGTCTGGCATGGAGACATACCTTGTAATCCTAGCACTTTAAAGGCAAAGACAGGAGGATCACAAGTTCAAAACCAGCCAGGGCTCTGTGATGAAATCCTATTTCAAGAAAGAGAGAGACAGGGCCAGCAAGATAACTCAGTGGGTAAAGGCACTTGCCACCAAGTGTGACAACCTGAGTTCGATCCCCAGGACCCAAATGGTAGGAGAGGACCAAGTTTTGCATGTTGTCCTCTGACCTCCACACCCACCCCATGGCATGTATGTGCCACTGCTGCTACACACACACACACACACACACACACACACACACACACACACAAAATTTTTTAATGTATAAAGGATTATAAAAGACAGATTGAGATTTTAAAAACCAGTCGTGGGCATATCAGTTGGTAGGTAGTTCCACAGACACACTGGTCTGGACCTCTGGGGAAGATTATACATAAAGATATCCTAAAATATGAAGGCTGATGTTTGTTCTGGAACATGCTTTGACTTTGAGTTAGGAAATGGAATCAAAGGTTTTTTTTAATATTTTATTTATTTTATTTTATGTATATGCATGTTTTGCCTGCATGTAGGTAAGTGCACCCATGTCATACAATGCCCTCTGAGAACAGAAGAGGCCATCGGATCCCCTGGAACTAGAGTTATGGACAGTTGTTAGCTGCCATGTGGGTGCTGGGATTCGAACCCAGGTCTTCTGCAAAAACAGTGTTCTTAACTGCTGAGCCCTAATACTTAGTTTTCTTTATGCTCTGAAGGCTGTTTTTTTACTCCTAGGGTCAAGTGATCCTCCTGCCTCAGCCTCCCAATACCACTAGCAGAGCAGAAAAGTAATCAGGACTGGGTCTCATGAAAGAGCATCTAACTGGAGCTAGTGAACAAAGTGGCCAGTATAAGTGCCTATTCACCACCCCTTGAGCTTACTAGCCTTCAGGAATGATCTGAGGAGTTCCATTCAAACCAATAGGGATAGGGGTGTGTTCAGCTGGGAGGACCAGTGTGTCTGGAGTGGAGGGCCACTGCTGCTAGGCACCCAGTAGTGCTTAGACGAAGGCTGTGACAAGTGAGGGGGCACTGAGAACAGCACAAGTGGAAGACCACAGTGTCTGTGACTCCCCAGGTGGATGTAGTGACTGAGGTTGGAGCAGGGAACAGCCAGGGAGGCACCGTGAGCAGGGTAGGAGCTGCCTCTGACACAGAAAGCATCAGAAGTTTAGGTAGTGCTGGGTCCTGCCTCCATTTCTGAAGCATACCTGCTACTAAGTAATAAAGGAGAGTGATAGGTGGTATGGATCTGGGGCTGGAGGTGCTGTGGGAATGAACCTATTATGAGCAAGGTACTGTCTAAGAAGAACTGTCATAACCCCAGGGACACTGGGATTCGGGGCATAAGAGAGAAAGAGAATCTTGTACTTGGTTGTGTGGGGGAACTTTCCCTAGGATAATTTCCTGGCAGAAGTGATACTGGCTAGGCTTGATGGGCTCTTTTTTAAAGGATTAAAAGATGGGAATAGAGCTCAGAGCAGGACAAAGTTAATTTGCAAACATTACAGACTCTTTAAGGACATGAAGAGGGACATTCAGAGATGAGCACCGTTATCCCTAAAGGTGTTTGGGGTCATATTGGGTTATGGTGCTCCTCCCAGTTAACTTCCCCCATCTCTCTTTCTATTGGTCACAGGCATCCATGCACCCCCTTTTGTAGCAGGGATTAGGTCTCTGCTTCTCTCCACACGCAGGAAAATAATTGAATAGGAACCCCTGTTCTGCAGGCACCTGTCATAGGATTCCTTACCTTCACACATGAGGAATTGTTGACTGGCTAGAGGAGGGGAAGAGTGGGTGCTGCAAGCTCTTCTGCTCTCTGTGAGACAGAGAGGTCCACCACATTCAAGGGGAAATGGGCTGTGTTTGGAGAAATAGAAACCTACTGCTGCCACAAAGAAATGGAAATTTGCTGCCTATTGCTGGGAATAAACAGCCATTAAAAAAAAAAAAAACAAAAAAAACAAAAACAAAAACCTCACACCAGGGTTGTTGTTATGTTTCCCCCTTGTCCCATCCTGAGGATCCACACCTCAAAAGAAGTTAACAGCCTTGCGTTGTCAGATCTGAAATAGCTGCTTTTTACCCACTTGCCTGTGGGTGCCATGAGAGGAGGTGGTGGTCTGCGACCACAGTGAGAGGTGAGCCTCTGGACTGGGGCTTATGTACAATCTCCTCAGCAGTATAAGAAGAGAGAACAATGGATGGGTGTATGAGTGAGTGAGCTTAGAACCCTAAGAGAGAAGTTCATCACTGAGTAACCTGCCTCCATCACAACAGGGCTGTATGACCTTTGAGGATGTAGCTGTTTACTTCTGCCAGGAAGAGTGGGAAATCCTGGATGAGGCTCAGAAGCTGCTGTACCTGGAAGTGATGCTGGAGAACTTTGCACTTATAACCTCACTGGGTAAGGCCCTCGCACCCACCCCTGCATTCCAGTCTGTCCTCTTTGCTCCTAGTAGCAGCTCTGCCCTTTTCATAGGTAGACCACAGATGCTGACCACCCTGATTTCTTGGCATACGTGCTGCAGGTGCCAGCACCAAGCTGCGTGCATTGCCCTGTTGTGCTCTAACACATGCCACCCCAAAGCATTCAGTGAATGAACCATTTGGGTGGCAGAATTCCTGCAGTCAGGGTATTTTCTGTTGCTCTGATAACATACTCTGACAAAAGCAACATAAAGGAGCAATTGTTTATTTCACCTCACCGTTCCAGATTATAGTCCCTCATAGCAGAGAAATCGCAGAGGCCAGAGTTTAAGAAAAGTGGTCACATCACATCCACAGTTGAGAGCAGAGATCACCGAATTAATGCATGCCAGTGCACAGCTTACTTTCTCCTTTCTGTTCATTCCAGAACCCTGAGCCTAGGGAATCCTGCCACCTATAGTGGGCAGGTCTTCCCACCTCAACTAATGTGATGAAGGCAGGTTTTCCCACCTCAATGAATGTAATCAAGACAGCCCCCTACAGGTGTGCTCAGGCCCTTCTCCCAGATAATTCTGGATTGTGTCAAGTTGACAACACTCACCACAGCACCTCAACTTGCCTTGCCCCTTCCTTGGTCTGGTGACTGTGTTCATATCCATGACTCCTTTTGCTTGACAGTCTGTCCCTTCTAGCTGGTATCTCAGGCTGTGTCTTTCAGGACTTGCAGATATTGTCATGCTTGGTACTTGGCTGGAACGTGGACTTTTTCTTCCTTAGAATCTTTTGTGGATTAGTTGCTCTAGACCACTGCTCACCTGTCCTATCTTTCTTTAAGACTTACATCATCCAGTTCCCATGTACATAGACCACTGGGATTATGGGAAAGCCCTGATTGCTCAAGGCAGACATGGCAAAGTGGCTTCCACAGTTCAACAATTGCGTGGCCTTCGGAAGTGGCAGCTGCTATAGGGTGTGACATCTGGGTTGTGTTCAGATCAATCCAGGAACCAACCTGTGCTGGATACCTTTAGTGTCAACTTGACACCTGGGTTGAGGGAGCCTCAACTGGCGAATTGCCTCTATTGGACTAGCCTGTGGCCATGTCTGTGGGGCATCTTCTTGATTACTGAGTGACGTGGGAGGGCCCAGCCCATTGTGGGTGGTGCCACCCCTAGGCAGGTAGGCCTATGTTGTATAAGAAAGCAGGCTGAGCATGGGCCAGGGGAGCAAGCCAGTAAGCAGTGTTCCTCCATAGCCTGTGCTTCAGCTTCTGCCTCCAGGTTCCTGCCCTGAATTCCTACTGTGGGCTCCCTGGTGAACTGTGACCCAGGAGATGTAAGACAAATAAACCCTTTCTTCCCCAAGCTGGTAGTGGTCAGAGTGTTTTGTCACAGCAATAGAGAAACAAACTGGAACACAACCCATAGTGTGTCCAACAGTGTTGTGGTGTGTGTCATATGAGACTTTTCCTAGAGAGGCGTAACACACACGTCACTTACCCCGATAGGAAGTAGAACATAAATTATACAGTAAGTAAGGAAAAATACAGATAGCAGTATCAACACTCCTTAAAGGATATCCCATAACACTTTATAAATTTTACCTTTCTAATTTTGTTAAATTACAGAATTTTATTTTACTGGTACATGCAATTTATGTTGTATATTTATAGTAAAGGTATATTGAGGGGCTGGAGAAATGGCTCAGTGGTTAAAAGTTCTTGCTCTTGCAGAGGACCTGGGTTCAGTTGCTAGCACTCACATTAGATGGCTCATAACTGCCTTTAAGTCTGGCTTCAGGGGATCTGACACCTCCGGCTTCCACTAACACCTACAGGCACATACAGGCGTGTGTGTGCACGCACACGCACACACACACACACTTTAAAGTAAAATAAAAAGTGTATGACATATAATCATGTTTTTCTTTTTTCTTTTTTTCCCCCTTCATCCATCTCTTTGAACTTGTATTTGTTGAGTTAGGTTCAGATTCAGGCTTTTGACACCCTGAACCTTTGGTTTCTGTAGTTTCTATTGCTAGCCAATAAAATAAATATGAGAGATGGTAAAGAAGCCTGGTGCCTGTGGGCAACAGTCTATCCCTGGGATAGCTTCTGCCCTCAGCATAGTCAGTCCTTGCCCTGTTTGGTCAGGTATGATATTTACTTGATAAGCTCCCATGATAGACATAGTCTTTGTTATAAACAGAGGCCTTTCTTTCTAGGGTTTCTGCTTACCCTTAGATTGCTTAGAGACTAATGTTAGCCTTAGCTTTATTTTCTAAACTCTTTGTTTTGTGACAGTTTAATAGGAGGGGGACTCTTAGCATGACAGCATTTAAATGTGCCCAAGCATACTGACTAGAACATTGATAATCTAATGGGCTAAGAGGTTTTTCAATTGTCTTCAAGGAAGAACAAATGTTCTTTCCTTCTTATCATTAAACATTCAGCTATAGGTATCCAAGCATGGGACCTGTCTAGAGGACTAAAGCAAAAATCCTGACTCCTTGGGACTAGAGAGATGGCTCAGCAGTTAAGAGCACCAGCTGCTCTTGAAGACCCAGGTTCAAATCCCAGCACCTACATGGTGGCTAACAGCTGTCCATAACTCCAGTTCCAGGGGGCCTGACACTCTCTTCTGTCTTCCGCAGGCACTGCATGACACAGGTGCACTTACATACATGTAGGCAGTACACTCATACACAAAAAAATAAAAACAAATTTTTGAGTGCTGACTCCAGATGTTGCAATGGTCTAGACTTACCCACCTGTCCCCCCACACCAGTTGAAGAGCTCCATAGTTGCCCTAGTTCATTTCTGTCACTGTGACAATGACCTGACAAAAAACACCTTAGGGGAGAAAGGGTTTATTTCAGATTACAGTCCATCATTGTGGGGAAGTCAGGGCAGGAACATGAAACAGCTGGTCACATGACAGTCAAGAGCAGAGAGAGATGAATGAACATGTGCCCCGTGAGCAGCTGCTTTCTCTAATACCGTCCAGGACCCCAGACTAAGGAATGGTGCTGCTCACGTCCAGGCTGTGTCTTCTCCTATCAATTAAGGCCATCAAGGCAATCTCTCACAGACCAATCTGATCCAGACAGTCCCTTGCTGAGACTCTCTTCCTAGGTGATTCTAGATTGTGTCGAGTAGACAGTGAAAACTAGCCATCAGAGAAAAGAACGATAAAAGGTTTGTGTGACCCCAAGTTGGTCTCAGGGGCGATAAAGGAACTTTGAGATGTTATAGAAATCAGAAACAATTTAGGAGTTAGAGTATGGTGGAGTGACAGAGCAGGTCATCCTGGTCGAGCCAGTGGTTTAACTGGTCATTTTCTTTGCTATGGTTTTGCAAGAGTTTCTGGAGACATTATTATCCCTTTCCTTACGTGTAGGGATCACTCTTGGTCCAATCAGATGATTACCCCTATGGCCTTACCATCATAGTTAATTGCCTTCATTTTGGATAAAACTTGATGTTCTTGGGGGTAGTTTTGGTCCCTTATAACAAAGATATTTATCAGTCATTCCGATCATTCTTGGAATCCTAGGACAATGCAAAATAGTGATTCAGGAGGGAAAAGTCAGACAAAAATAGACCTACAGAGAATAAAATGGTATTAGTCCAGTGACTGCTTTCCCCTTTCAATTCCTTATATCCTTTCACTCCAAGACAGGTTATAGCAACACTAAGGGAAGCAGCAGCAGAAATTTCCCTTTGAAGTATTTCTCCCTGGGTTACATGACTTTCCAAGAACAATTTGTGTAGAACAACAAAAAAATTAATATTATTTAGAATTTCATACATGAGTACTACATTTAGGTCATGCCCACTCCTCCCCCAATTCCTCCTGTGTCCCCTCCACTCCCCCTCAAATTTATGATCTCTTCTTCTGTAATTATTATTGTTAAATATATACATGTATATATTCAACCTACTGGGTCCATTTCATGTTGCTTATATGTACATGTGTTTAGGGCTAACCACTTTTTAATAAATATTTATCATTTTTATTTTATATGTCTGAGGCTATTGTCTGCATATATATAAGTGCACCTGTGTCATGCAAGCCCAAGTAAGTCAGAGGGTGTCAGATCCCCTGGAACTGGAGTTACAGATGGTTGTTAGCCACCATATGGGTGCTGGGAACCTGAGTCCTCTGCAAGAGCAGCCAGTACTCTTAACTGCTGAGCCATCTCTCCAGCCCCAGACTAACCACTTTGGATTGAATAATCTATCTGGGGGCTTGTCCTGGCGGGAAACTGATTATTCCTCTTTCAGCACCATTGATTGCCTGTAGCTCTTCATCTAGGAGTGAGGCCTTATGAGGTTCCCCCATCCCCGTTAGCATATTGACTTGTGCTATTGTTAGGCAGGTCTTTTTTAGGCAACTCTATTGTTGAGATTACGTGGGTGCAGCATCCGTCATGACTAGAAAATGCTATCTAGCAGCACATGTCCTGGTCTATGAAGGGAGTTGCAGGCCAGCTGGGGCTACAGGGAAACCCTGTCTCAAAAAGACCAAAAGAAGGAAGGAAGGAGGGGGAAGGAAGGAAGGAAGGAAGGAAGGAAGGGAGGGAGGGAGGGAGGAAGGAAGGAAGGAAGGAAGGAAGGAAGGAAGGAAGGAAGGAAGGAAGAAGTTAGTTGAAGAACTGTCTCAGTGGTTAAGAGCACTTCTCTTTTGGAGAATCAGAATTCACTTCCAAGCACCCATATCCAGTTACAACTTCCTATAACTCTAGCTGCAGAAGATCTGACACCCTCTTCTGACCTCCAAGGGCATATGCACATACATAAGCACAGTCATACTCTATACACGTAAATATAAATACAAATATAAATCTTAAAAAATAAGGGGCAGCCGGGTATGGTGGTGCACACCTTTAAACCCAGCACTCAGGAGGCCGAGGCAGGCGATCTCTGAATTCAAGCCCAGCCTGGTCTACATATCGAGTTCCAGGCCAGCTGGTGCTACAGGGAGACCATGTCTCAAAAAAAGACCAAAGTAAATAAGGGGCTAAGGAGGTAAACATATTGGAGAAGTGTTTTCATCTAACATAGAGATTGTTCCTATAAATGAGGAGCTGTTTGACTTGAGTCTTTTTTTTAATGTGTATATATTTGTCTTTTTGAGACAGGGTCTCCCTGTAGCCCCAGCTGTCCTG